GTTTTTAGCATGAAGGGCTGTTGAATTTTGTCAAAGGCCTTTTCTGCATCTATTGAGATAATCATGTGGTTTTTGTCTTTGGTTCTGTTTATATGCTGGATTACGTTTATTGATTTGCATATGTTGAACCAGCCTTGCATCCCAGGGATGAAGCCCACTTGATCACAGTGGATAAGCTTTTTGATGTGCTGCTGGATTTGGTATGCCAGTATTTTATGGAGGATTTTTGCATCGATGTTCATCACGGACATCGATCTAAATTTCTCTTTTTTTGTTGTGTCTCTGCCAGGCTTTGGTATCAGGATGATGTTGGCCTCATAAAATGAGTTAGGGAGGATTCCCTTTTTCTATTGATTGGAATAATTTCAGAAGGAATGGTACCAGCTCCTCCTTGTACCTCCGGTAGAATTCGGCTGTGAATTCGTCTGGTCCTGGACTTTTTTTGGTTGGTAGGCTACTAATTATTGCCTCAATTTCAGAGCCTGTTATTGGTCTATTCACGGATTCAACTTCTTCCTGGTTTAGTCTTGGGAGAGTGTAAGTGTCCAGGAAATTATCCATTTCTTCTAGGTTTTCTAGTTTATTTGCATAGAGGTATTTATAGTATTCACTGATCGTAGTTTGTATTTCTGTGGGGTTGGTGGTGATATCCCCTTTATCATTTTTTATTGCATCTATTTGATTCTTCTCTCTTTTCTTCTTTATTAGTCTTGCTAGTGTTCTATCAAGTTTGTTGATCTTTTCAAAAAACCAGCTCCTGGATTCATTGAATTTTTGAAGGGTTTTTTGTGTCTCTATCTCCTTCAGTTCTGCTCTGATCTTAGTCATTTCTTGCCTTCTGCTAGCTTTTGAATATGTTTGCTCTTGCTTCTCTAGTTCTTTTAATTGTGACGTTAGACTGTCAATTTTAGATCTTTCCTGCTTTCTCTTGTGGGCATTTAGTGCTATAAATTCCCCTCTACATACTGCTTTAAATGTGTCCCAGAGATTCTGGTATTTTGTATCTTTGTTCTCATTGGTTTCAAATAACATCTTTATCTCTGCCTTCATTTCGTTATGTACTCAGTAGTCATTCAGGAGCAAGTTGTTCAGTTTCCATGTAGTTGAGTGGTTTTGATTGATTTTCTTAGTCCTGAGTTCTAGTTTGATTGCACTGTGGTCTGAGCAATAGTTTGTTATAATTTCTGTTCTTTTACATTTGTTGAGGAGTGCTTTACTTCTAACTATGTGGTCAATTTTGGAATAAGTGTGATGTGGTGCTGAGAAGAATGTATATTCTGTTGATTTGGGGTGGAGAGTTCTGTAGATGTCTATTAGGTCCACTTGGTGCAGAGTTGAGTTCAATTCCAGGATATCCTTGTTAACTTTCTGTCTCATTGATCTGTCTAATGTTGACAGTGGGGTGTTGAAGTCTCCCATTATTATTGTATGGGAGTCTAAGTCTCTTTGTAAGTCTCTAAGGACTTGCTTTATGAATCTGGGTGCTCCTATATTGGGCACATGTATATTGAGGATAGTTAGCTTTTCCTGTTGAATTGATCCCTTTACCATTATGTAATGGCCTTCTTTGTCTCTTGATCTTTGATGGTCTAAGTCTGTTTTATCAGAGACCAGGATTGCAACCCCTGCTTTGTTTTGTCTTCCATTTGCTTGGTAGATCTTCCTCCATCCCTTTATTTTGAGCCTATATGTGTCTCTGCATGTGAGATGAATTTCCTGAATACACCCCACTGATGGGTCTTGACTCTTTTTCCAATTCGCCAGTCCGTGTCTTTTAATTGGAGCATTCAGCCCATTTACAGTTAAGGTTAATATTGTTATGTGTGAACTTGATCCTGTCATTGTGTTATTAGCTGGTTATTTTGCTCGTTAGTTGATGCAGTTTCTTCCTAGCATTGATGGTCTTTACATTTTGGCATGTTTTTGCAGGGGCTGGTACCGGTTATTCCTTTCCATGTTTAGTGCTTCCTTCAGGATCTCTTGTAGGGCAGGCCTGGTGGTGACAAAATCTCTAAGCATTTGCTTGTCTGCAAAGGATTTTATTTCTCCTTCACTTATGAAACTTAGTTTGGCTGGATATGAAATTCTGGGTTGAAAATTATTTTCTTTAAAAATATTGAATATTGGCCCCCACTCTCCTCTGGCTTGTAGAGTTTCTGCCGAGAGATCTGCTGTTAGTCTGATGGGCTTCCCTTTGTGGGTAACCCTGCCTTTCTCTCTGGCTGCCCTTAACAGTTTTTCCTTCATTTCAACTTTGGTGAATCTGACAATTATGCGTCTTGGAATTGCTCTTCTCGAGGAGTATCTTTGTGGCGTCTTTGTATTTCCTGATGTTGAATGTTGGCCTGCCTTACTAGGTTGGGGAAGTTCTCTTGGATGATATCCTGCAGAGTGTTTTCCAACTTGGTTCCATTTTCCCTGTCACTTTCAGGCACACCAATCAGATGTAGATTTGGTCTTTTCACATAATCCCATATTTCTTGGAGGCTTTGTTGATTTCTTTTTCCTTTTTTTCTCTAGACTTCTCTTCTTGCTTCATTTGATTCATTTGCTTTTCAATCATTGATACTCTTTCTTCCAGTTGATTGAGTCAGTTACTGAAGCTTGTGCATTTGTCACGTATTTCTCGTGTCATGGTTTTTATCTCTGTCAGTTCGTTTATGGCCGTCTCTGCATTGACTATTCTAGTTATCCATTCTTCCATTCTTTTTTCAAGATTTTTAGTTTCTTTGCGCTAGGTATGTAGTTCCCCCTTTAGCTCTGAGAACTTTGATGGACTGAAGCCTTCTTCTCTCAACTCGTCAAAGGCATTCTCCGTCCAGCTTTGATCCGTTACTGGCGATGAGTAGCGTTCCTTTGGAGGGGCAGATGTGCTCTGATTTTTTGAATTTTTTGAATTTCCAGCTTTTCTGCCCTGCTTTTTCCCTATCTTTGTGGTTTTAGCTGCCTTTGGTCTTTCTTTGATGCTGGTAACGTACTGATGGGGTTTTGGTGTGGGTGTCCTTTCTGTTTGTTAGTTTTCCTTCTAACAGTCAGGACCCTCAGCTGTAGGTCTGTTGGAGATTGCTTGAGGTCCACTCCAGACTCTGTTTGCCTGGCTATCAGTAGCGGAGGTTGCATAAGATAGAATACTGCTGTACAGCAAGTATTGCTGTCTGATTCTTGCTCTTGAAGCTTCGTCTCAGGGGTGTACCCTGCTGTGTGAGGTGTGAGGTGTCAGTCTGCACCTAATGGGGGATGTCCCCCAGTTAGGCTACTCAGGGGTCAGGGACCCACTTGAGCAGGCAAACTGTTCTCAGATCTCAGCCTCCGTGCTGGGAGATCCACTGCTCTCTTCAAAGCTGTCAGACAGGGTTATTAACATCTGCAGAGGTTTCTGCTGCCTTTTTGTTTTTTTTGCTATGCCCTGTCCCCAGAGGTGGAGTCTACAGAGACAGGCAGGCCTCCTTGAGCTGCGGTGGGCTCCACCCAGTTCGAGCTTCCCGGAGGCTTTGTTTACCTACTTAAGTCTCAGCAATGGCGGGTGCCCCTCCCTCAGCCTCGCTGCTGCCTTGCAGTTAGATCTCAGACTGCTGTGCTAGCAGTGAGGGAGGCTCCATGGGCATGGGACCCTCCCGGCCAGGTGTGGGATATAATCTCCTGGTGTGCCGTTTGCTAAGACCCTTGGTAAAGTGCAGTATTAGGGTGGGAGTTTTCCGATTTTCCAGGTGTTGTGTGTCTCAGTTTCTAAAGGGATTCCCTTCCCCCTTGTGCTTCCCAGGTGAGGCGATGCCTCGCCCTGCTTCAGCTCTCACTGGTCGGGCTGCACAAGCTGACCAGCACCGATTGTCCGGTACTCCCCAGTGAGATGAACCCGGTACCTCAGTTGAAAATGCAGAAATCGCCCGTCTTCTGTGTCGCTCCCGCTGGGAGCTGGAGGCTGGAGCTGTTCCTATTCGGCCATCTTGCTCGCACCCCTCCTGTATCTTTTAAATAATCTGTTCATTTCGTCCAAGTTGTCAATGTACTAACATAAAATTATACCTAATATTATCCTATTATTGCTTTCATGTCTGCATGATCAGTAATTAGATTCCTTCTTTCATTCTTCATATGGTACTTTGAGTTTTCTCTTTTTTATTGGTCAATCTAGGTAAAACTTTTACTTACTGTTCTTTTCAAAGAACCAGCTTTTGGTTTCATTAATTTTCTCTATTGTTGGTTTATTTCTAGCCTTTCATTATGGATTTGTATAGGCTGTTACATTGAGTAGGTCTGAGATGGGGGTCTGTAGGGTGGGCCAGGGATTGAGAGTCTATGAAGAGCAGGGATTCTCACCAGTGTCAAACCCTGTGACACAAGTAAGTTTCACTGGTTTTCCCTGTGCTATTCCCAAAGCAAAATCCTTCTATAGATTTTTATAGTTAGACCACTATAAAAGCCAAAAAAGGCTTCCTCCTATACCATTCCCCTCCCCATTTCCCACAATATCATGAAAGGAAAAGACAAGTGGTCAGACATATGATAACAGCATGGCTTTTGGCACAACAGATACAAGTCTACAGTTCAAAGGTACATCTGATTTAGAAAATCTTTGGCTATCCTAGGCATTTCATTACAAAACGATGGGAGTGAGCTGGGACAGGGAGGAAAAAGGTAACTAGTTGGATATAGAGTATATTAAATAAAGGGTCAGTGCTGAGGCTGCATAAATGTTGATGAGATAGAAAAGACACATCTCAAGAGAATATTGTTCCTTATCTTGTTGCCATAGGATCCTATCTTGGAGCAACAGTAAAGTAAGGGCCAAAAGAAAAGTGTAGAAGGGCTGGAAGTAGAGGAAGGCTCATCCCAGGACATAGGGCAAGGGTAGAAGTTTCTGTGTTGCTAGGATGGGACAGCTGGTCCCAGAAAGTCACTTACATATGAATGACAGAAGTGCACACACACACACACACACATACACATACACCCTAATATAAAATAAAAGCTCATGCCCCATATAGTCTTGATATACTTACAAAGCCTCGTGTATACTGATTCAGGCTATCGATTGCTGCAATCTTTGATAATTCTTCTTTTACATATGTAGGAGGGGATATATCTGGAAAGCCTTGGCCAAGATTCACAACAGAAGGGTCTGCAGCCAATTTGGTAAATTCAATCCTAAGATTGAAAAAAATACTAACATTAATAAGTTCTATAATTATAAAGTTTGCTTTTTTACATCTTATAGTCTTACCACAAAACTGACAAATAAGACCCTAGTTTAGTCCTATAGGTTTTAAAAAACGAGTTTCCAACAAAAATTTACCACCCACAAAATCAGTTTACCAAATCGAATGATGGCTGAATTTATGAATCCAATGTCCCTTACAAACCTCAGTTTCACGCTACCCATATTTTAACCATATATATATATTTTTCTCAACAATTCCAGCTGCTGCTAAGTTCTTTCATCAACTATTAGAGAATATAACTAATAAGAAAAGTTCCTGGATTGGAAGGTAAGTTCCATGAGGGCATTAACATTTGTCCTTTTCTATGCCATATGTCCAGTGTCCAGCACAGGGCATGGCACATGTGCCAAATGAACAATTCAGTATATGGATTGCTAACTTCCTTCCATTTTCATTTAATGGATGAATTAAATGAGGACCTTTATTTATAGATGGGGCAAAAAACTCCCATCTAAAGATATGCAAATATGTAGGAAAACTTCACTAAATTATTATTATTTATTTTAAGATACTCACCACATATTACCATCAAGTCCTTCAATCCGTTTTGCATTTGTGAATTTCAATGACATTTTCTGAAATACATAAATATTGGAAAGGAATTGCCTTAGTCAAAATTTTAAAATGCCAGTAAATCATGGGTCACTTTTCTTCCTTTCCCCTACTGTTCCCATGTAAATAGTAGTTCCATAAAGATAAATCTTAGACTCCGACAGAAAATTCTGAAGAGGAATTCATCTCCCACCTACTACTGAAGGAATGCCTTTTTTTTTTTCTCAGACATGGTTGCCCAGGTTGGGATGCAGTGGTGTGATCCTGGCTCACTGCAACTTCAACTGCCCAGGCTCAAGCAATCCTCCTGTTTCAGTCTCCTGAGTAGCTGGGACTATAGGCATATCCCACTGTGCCAAACTATTGTGTTGTTGTTGTTGTTTGTTTGTATTTTTTATAGAGACAGGGTCTTGTGGTGTTGCCCAGGTTGGCCTCAAATTCCTGGCCTCGTGATCCTCCTAACTTGGCCTCTCAAAGTTTGGGATTACAGGTGTGAGCTACCATGCTTGGCTGGAAGGAATGCTTCTTAAAAATGAAATTTAGATGTTCATCTTCTCACCTAAGGACAAAAAGTATCATCCTAGCCTAGAAAGCTAATCAGTTTGAAGGCTTGTAATGTAGTAAAGAGAACAATAATAATATTTAAAAAGTCAGTTTTAAAAAATATCTTCAGCCATGCTCTGAAGATCATTTTAGGTAAGATATACTAAGAGTTCCACAAGTAGGTTCCTTGTATGACATATAGGAAAGACTCAACAAATGGTTTTAAAGCTACTCACTAAGGGGTTCCGTAATTATTGCTAACATTATTGAGTACTGAGTATGTACTAGGTACTATTCTAAGTGCTTTACATAATTACCTCATTATTAACGTATATTTAAAAAATATGTAGTAGTTGTATTACATAGTTAAGAACTATGAGGCACAGAGGTACAGAGAGGTTAACATCACACAGCTTTTCACATCTGCTCAAGTTTATGAAAGCCAGTAATATTTAAACCCAAGCAAGTTCAACTCAGGATCTGAACCCAGACAGTCTGACTCCAAAATCCATACTCAGAACTATTATATAATTTCATACTGTCTTTTATATAATAAGACCTTCTAAAATTATTATTAGAATGCTGCCTCTTAAAAGTATATTATAAATTTAGGATGAGCTTACTTATACCAAGCAAGCTAAGGCGGTGGTAGAAAAATAGGAATTAAAATTATCACATAGCATATAATTTTTTAGTTCTTTAGATTCTAAAATTGAGTTTTATACTATCTCTCAAAAGTATTGAATTAGCTTTGAGTTCATTGTTAACAAGCTGGTAGAAATAAAAAAATGATTGACAGCATTTTTGCAAAGAATTTTCTAATAGAATATTAATGTAATTTTAATTCAATCTGGGAAGAAGATAACGATCATGGTTATTAAATAGACCATTGTTCTCATTCTATTCTAAATAATGGAACCAAGAAAAATACCTTTTTTAGTCTCATATTTTTAGTCTTTGAAACTCCAGTGAAGTAAATCACATGAAAATTCTCTAGAGGTTAAAACGCTTGCTCGAATAGCATTATAATTACCCACCTGAACTTGATGCCATTCCAGAGACAACAGTTGTACAACTACCAAGTTCTAGCATGATAGATAGAAACATATATCTTAACAAATGCTCTTTTCTGTCTCTAAAACAATGTTTAAAGCTTAATTCATTCAGTAGAGACCACAAACACAAAGGATGATTTATACATAAAAAAGTGAGGATGATGTGCTGTAGATAATTTAGATGCAAAGTCCAACTTTACTTAAAATTCTTTAGGTAATTGAGGTTGAAATGCACTTTCAGGTTTAATTTTCTTTAAAATTTGTTTCTAGACCGGCCTCTTCTCTCATTGTTCCTCCTGCTTCCTCTTCCCTCCCAATTCTATGCCACACCCATTCTAATTTTTCAAATAGTCCATGTTCTCTCTCATTTCAGTAGTTTCATGTGTGATCTTTGCTATGCCCAAATGCTCTTTCTATACCAATGTTTCTCAATTTTTTTTTTTAAATCATTGCCCACCTAAGGAGACCTTCCTAGAATTTTTTTCCTAGTCATCTTCCCTCCCCTCAATTAAATATTAAGAGGAATGTAATTTTGCCAGGTAGGATTGAGCTTTGGATGGTGACAAAACAGTGTGATAGCTAAGATTTATCTTGTCTGCCAAGCATCCATTTTCTTCTCCTGGGGGACGTCATGCCCTTGTTGAGAATGTATGTTCTCTACTCAGTCCAATTCCTGGTCCCCACCACGCTTCCTTGCACTTGGCTAACTCGTATTCCACCTGCCACGTGCAGTTCTCAAATTTGACTTCATTCCCTCCTGAAAGCCTTCTTTGGTTCCATGAGTCAGGGTCAGGTGCTTCTCCTATGTGCTTCCATTAAATGCAGTACAACAAGTCATCACTTAAAAGTGTCATATAGGTTCTTGGAAACTGTAACTTTAAGCAAAATGATATACAGCATGACCAATTTTACCATAGGCTAATTGAGATAAATAAGAGTTCAGTTTCTACAGCATATTTCTGGTCACAAAAACATTGCTATACTTCTAAATAAAGACCGAAACACTTCTAATATGAAACATTGAAATAAATGTGAGCTATACATACATTTATTTTAAGGAATTTGCTTATGTGTTTGTGAGGGCTGGCAAATCTGAAATCTGCAGAGCAAGTTGGAGACTCAGGGAAGAACTGATGCTGCAACTGGAGTCAGAAGAACTCCCTCTTCCTTGAGGACCTCAGTCTTTTCCTCTTAAGGTCTTCCACTGAATGAGGCCCACCCATATTATGGATGGTAATTGGCTTTACTGAAAGTCTACTGATTTAAACGTTAATCTCATCTAAAATATACCTTCACAGCAATACCTAGACTGATGTTTGGCAAATATCTGGGTACCATGGCATAGCCAAGGCGACATCATCACAGTGTCCAACATATAGTTATATGCCTAGCACATAGCAAGTTTTTAATAATTATCTGATGAATAAATTTTTTTTAAAAACCTCACTCACATTACAGGGTGAAGTTATAGTGTCAGTTAGCTGTGTTAGTCAGCTAAAGTTAATTTATGCTTCAGTGATAAATGACCCCAAAGTCTTGGTGGCCTAAAATCATAAAGGTTTTCTTGCTCATACTACATATCCACTGAGGTTCAGCTGCTGCCCTGGTCTGTGTCACTGTCATTCTGAAACATAGGCTGATGAAACAGCCTCCACCTGGAACACTGCCTGTTTCATGGCAGAGGGAAGAGGCTCTTAAAAGATTCTGTTAGGATGTGCACACATCGCTTCTTTTCATATTTTATTGGGCAGAGCAATTTCACGGCTAAGCTTCACATCAGTGAGGCAAGGAAATGTAACTGTCCAGCAGGAAAGAGCAGCAAATAATTGTGAAAAACAACATGGCAGAAATGAAGTCTGGAGGTATAATGAGATACATGGTTGTTATGGGTTGCACCATGTCCCCCCTTAGTTTCATATGTTGAAGTCCTAACTCCCAGTTCCTCCGGATGTAATCTTATGTGGATATAGGGTTACTGCAGATGTAATTAGTTAAGATGAGGTCATTAGCGTGAACCCTAATCCAGTATGACTGGTGGTCTTATAAAAAGGTGAGATCTGGACATATACATAGACCCTGTGTGACGATGAAGGCACAGACTAAGGTGATGCTCCTACCAGCCAAGGAAGGCAGAGATTTCCAGGCAATCACCAGATGATAGTGGGGTTTGGGGGTATAGAACAATCTTCTTCACTGCCCTCAGAAGGAACTGGACCTGCTGATACTTATCTGAGACTTTTAGTCTCCTGAACAGTGAGGGAATAAACTGCTGTTATTTAATAAGCCACCTAGTTTGTAGTACTTTGTTAAGGCAACCTGAGGGAACTAACACACTGGTGAAAGTTTATAAGACACTATACAATGTTCAGAGTCACCAAGATTCAGCAGCAGATGCAAATGCTCACTGTCTAAGTAAGAACTACTTTCCAGAGCAGATCCAGTGTCAGGTAATTAAAATAAACCTGGAATCCTATGGGGAAATAAGGGCATGAGTCCCAGGCAAGTAAGGGAATGTCTATAAGGCTTGTATAACTTCTGGATCAGCTAACCCTGTTATATGACTTTGGCTACCAGGGCGATTAAAGGTCTATACTTCCATGTTGTTAACGCAAAACTGCTAGTGAAATCAAAGGTAGCATATTTTAACCTTACTTTTGCTAACTTGAAGCTAAAACAATGAAGTTCTAGAAATTCACCACCAGGTGGCAATCTTGACAAAGGTAAGGAAAAGATTAAGTCTCTTTTGGACAGAAGAAAAACACTAATAGTATATGTTGAACCCATGATCTTAAGACCCTAGTACATCAAAGTTTCAATTGTATATATTTTTAGGACTCTTCTCATAAGATCTGAGGCAGGTTGAGATGGGACAGCTACAGAAAAAGTCTTCCTAAATGATAGGCTGAACTGGGGGAATTGAGGCTGTGGATATCTGTGTAGTATGGGCTGTGAAGCAAGTCTTCATCCAGAGAAGCCAAGGTTACAGCCAAAAAGTTTAATATTAGTAACAGTAATAATAAGTACAAGAAAAGGCCAGATATAGAAAACGCAAAGCTCATGGTTGGAGAGGGGAGAGGAGAAAACAGAGAAGCAGGCTTGGGAAGCAGATGGATACCACACTTCAGGACCAGGGAAGAGCAGAAGTGAGCACCCCTTTCATGGGGGGCCCAAACTGTTACTGTCTTTTAGATCTATGAAGTAGGGATTTGTAGTTGCAATCATGTGTCATTTAAAAAATATTTTAAATAGTCTCTTAACAAAGTACTGTATCTTAAGTATTTTATGAATTTTCTGAGTCATAAAAATTTCACTTTTAATTACAATGTATATTTTTGATTGTTTTTGTACCATATTTTACTCATTCATTCCCCTGTTGCTGGGCATTTGTTATTTCCAGTGTCTTGTTGTCTTGCAACGCATTTTGG